CTGGTAAATCTATGTTAGTGAGGGTAAGGTTGTGTTAAAAAGGTAAATCAATAATGATTTCTGTTTGCGTTATTGTTTTACTACAAAGAGATTTTCCTTCTATCTTTAGGATGTGTCAAATAATATGGCAAACAGTTCAACACCAAAACCTCCAGTAACATTACGACTTGTAGTTCCTGCCAGCCAGTGTGGTTCACTTATTGGAAAAGGAGGTTCCAAGATAAAAGAAATTAGAGAGGTAAGACATTCTAAATAGAATTTAATTTTGAATTATGTGTTCTGATGTTGATTAAAATATTAGAAATTAGTGTCCCTTTCCCCTTTATAGTACAGCTGATCACAGACACTTAAACATAACAAAATCTGATCATAAAAAGAGGAAACCACAGGTATTAAATTATGCCTGAGTATTTAATACCAGGGTAGAAATGAAAAAGCAATTGAACAAAATACTGTGGAATACTTTATTTTTGCTGGAATAAATTTTCGCTGAAATGGCTTTTTGGTCGTTCTTTATGGAATTTATTTTGATGAGTTGAATGTGAAATATAGGAAAAAAAGTATATTTGCTGGATTTTAATTTCACGAAATCATTCCTTCAGCAAAAATAGCGAAAATAAATTCCAAGCAAAAATAAAGTATTCTACAGTATCAGTCAATAACCAAAATTAAAATGGTAACCAAATCACTTTTGTTCCATACCTTGAGTAATTCATTTTTGATAATCATTTTTGTAATCTGTTCTAGACTGGTTGAGTTCAATCCCCCCATGGCTGAATAATATTTGTGACTGATGTCACTTCCTTGTGACTAAAATGTTGATTTTATTGTCGCTGACGAGTAGTACCGTAACATGCATACAAAATCTGTTTGACAACAGAATTTGCTTATTGTTTGCTATGTTTCAACTGTAGATGGCACTGTTTCATAAATACACTATTGGCTATGTGTGGAAAATAATCTCATGTGCTGCTATCTGGGGGGGCTTTATGACATATGGTTGGTTTTAACATAACTAATTACCTAGACAATAGAAGTAGCAATTAAAACACATGACTGATAGAATTGTTGCCAATTATAAATATCATTCTTGGGTCATTGGACCATGCTCTTCTTATGGCATAGTGGACTCATTTTGGTACAAAGAGTGTTGTGACTAGTGGACCATACCATTCCTGTCATAGGGTGAATGACTTAGTGGACCATACCCTTTTTGTCATGAGGTGAATGACTTAGTGGATCGTGGCATTTTTGTCATAGGACGACATTTGATTTGATGAATGCATGTGTATTTTGTTCATATGGTAGGCAGTTATGCTAAAAGAATACCTTTTTTTCTTTTTTTACAGAATACTGGTGCCTCTGTTCAAGTTGCCGGTGACATGCTACACCAATCAACAGAACGTGCTGTTACAATCTCAGGCACACCCGAGGCAATAACAAAATGTGTTTACCAAATATGCTGCGTAATGCTTGAGGTAAAGAACCAATCAGATTATGTTTAGTGTCAGCATTGCTCATTGCTCACTAAACATTCAAAAATTTTTTGTATTGATAATAAAATTAAACAAAAATCATTGTTAAATGATGTGTCTCCCATGAACAACTGTCAATAATGTACATAATAAAACAAGTAAAGCACACAATGCTGCCATATTGTGTGTCATAATGATTTATTATTAAAATGTATAATTGTCATTAAATTGTTTGTAGGATTTTTTTCAGGTCACAGCAAATTTAAATTTACAAATATTGCATCTATGTAAGTGTTTAATAGTTTTTCTATGTTCTCATTGCCAGTCACCACCAAAAGGAGCCACCATTCCCTACAGACCTAAACCAACAAATGCTACAGCTACTCATCCGGTAAGACTATATATTTTTTAATATGTCATTTAAGTAATGTTTAGGGATGGTTGGGCTATAGATGAAACAGATGACACCATTGCAAGCCTGATATTATGGCTTTGAATTCTAGGTAGGCCTGGTAACATGGTTTTGTATACTAAAGGCCTGGTAAAATGGTTTTGTATACTGTAAAATGTCTAATTTTCACTGGGTTTAAATTTCACTGATTTACCATTTCAGGCATATTCAGTGGGTTTTAAATTCATGGTTTCGTCATTTAGATAATGTGTTCTATGCTAAATTTTACATATTCACTGGGTTTTAATTTAGCGCATTTTCCAGTCAGCGAAATAAATTAAATTAAAACCCAGTGAATAATTACCCCCTTCACAGTACTAGTAGGACTTGTAACATGGTATTGTATACTAATAGGCCTGGTAACATGGTTTTATATACTACAAAAAGGCCTGGTAAAATGGTTTTATATACTAATAGGCCTAGTAACATGGTTTTGTATACTAAAAGGAGTGGTAAAATGGTTTTGTATACTAATAGGCCTGGTAACATGGTTTTGTATACTAATAGGCCTGGTAACATGGTTTTGTATACCAGTAGGTCTGGTAACATGGCTATGTATATTAGTAAGCCTGGTAACATTCTAATGATCATATTGACATTCTGCTTCAAAACCAGATGTATATTGATTTTCATTTTTTATCTTGTAGGCGTATGCAGTGCATGGGAATTATGCTGTTCCGTATCCAGATGTAAGTACACATTTAAACATGTACTGCACAAATTCAAGTTTAAAAGTTGTGAATCGACCTAATGTCATTCATCATTATTTTAATGACCAAGCTCAGTTAGATATTTGAATATTTTTATTGAAACAAAATTGGAAGACTTCTTATTATCTTTCCTGTATTTTCTTTGTTTAAATTTTGCTATGCATTGCTAACTCACCAATAACTGAACCTCTGTTTAATACACTCTCATTGATATATGTTTCTGGCAAACATTTGTGCCGTTTATTTCTGAATTATTTTTTGCCTCACTAATTTTTTGTTTAAACTTTCCATTTGAACTGATTTGTATTTGTTTATAAATGTCAAGTCTATGTTCCGTTTTATTTCTCATTCTCACATGCGTGCAAGTGTGTGTGTATTTGAGCTTGCAGTGTCTCTGTCTTTAATTTTGATTTTATTGTGTGCTTGTCGGTGTGTCTGTCTGTTGGACTATTCCATTTATGTCATCTGGTAACCGAGGGTTGGTGACATCAGTCTGATTGTTTGTTGTTTGTTTTTCCAGTTTATGAAGCTGCATCATCTTACCATGCAGCATACCCCCTTTCTCCCTGGACAGACCCCCTTCACTCCTACAGGTATGTCCCCAGTTTTCTTAGTCTATCTCTCTCCCTCTGACTGCCCCTCCCCAACCATCACATATAGCTGCTTTAACTAGCTTAAAATTCATCAACCATGTGCACGGAAAGTAGTTCCTAGTTTTTAGATGAATCTCACCTTCAATCATTAACACTGGACTTTGTAAGGTTTGCCTGTACTTGCATGTCATTAAATTGCCCACCGATTCAATCCAGTTGTGACAGTTATTGCTATCGCTTGATTCACCCCAGTCTTCCTGATTTCTTTTTTTATGTGTGTGGAGATTTTTTCTTTCATTTGCTTAGTTTCCAAATATTTGATTTTTCATATCTGCTACTAGGTTTGCAATGAGTGTATCTGAGATAGAAAACTGACTGTGTAAACTGACCGGCACTAGCCTGACTAAAATTGCAGTAATACAATTAGAATTTAGATTAGTTTTAGTGACATTTTCAATTAGACTAGTCTGTTATATTTTATAAGGGTGGTAGGTTTAGTTAACATGTACAGAGCTTTATTCACTCACTAGCAGCTTTTCTGGATATTTTTTTTCTTTTGTTTTTATTGAAATAGCGTTAAACATGGGTTACGGTGTTGCTAATGCTGCGAGTGCTGGCACCCAGGTTGCCACTACTGGTCAACAAACTTACGAGATAATGATTCCTAATGACGTAAGTATTCATCTTTCTATTTAGATTCTGCAAATTGATTTAATTTCATGCAAACAATTTTGGGAATCAGGGAAACAAAATCTGTTGGTAGTGAGTAAACTGAGATCCTCAAGATAGGATCAAAGTGACTACATGTAATACTTCTAAAGCACTTCATTGAACAATCATCACTGCACCGCATGACAATAATGAATACTCCATAAAGCATAGAATCATCTCAGTTTAGTTTAGTTGTATAATCTTTCATATTTTTACAGTGATACAGTATAGATATTATGTTGCTTCAATGATGCATACTATGTACTGAGTCCATGGGATATCATTTATTGGATCTAAAACCTAACCATTTAAATATCAGTACCACAAAGTGTAATATTTACGATATATATGTTTCAGCTCATTGGCTGTGTGATAGGCCGTGGTGGCGCCAAGATAAATGAAATCAGGTAAGCAGCAAAGTTACTTAAGCGACTTGGAGAAAACAAAAAGTTTAAACTTGAAAACTGTGTTTATTCTTGCTTACTACTGTCGACTTTGTCGAGCGGAGCTTATCATATGAGTGATTGTCCGTCGTCGTCCGTGTCAATGTTTTACTTTTTCGACTTCTTCTTGAAAACTACAAGCCTAAATGCGTTGATACTTGGTGTATATGTACCTTGGGTAGACCTCTCTTAGGTTTGTTCGTTTCATGTTGATATCTTTAATTCTCTAATTTTGGTGAATATTTTTGTCATTTTTGGTAAAAACTGATATTTTCGACTTCTTGTTAAAAACCGCAAGTGCAATTGCTTTGATATTACATCTATAGGTACTACATGTGGACCTCTCTCAGATTTGTTAATTTTGTAATGATATCTTTAATTCTTTAATTTTAGTGAATATTTTTGTCATTTTTGGTAAAAACTGATATTTTCGACTTCTTGTTAAAAA